CTCTCTTTCTCTCTCTCTTTCGCTCTCTCTCTCTCTCTCTCTCACTCTCTCTCTCACGCTCTCTCTTTCTCTCTCTCTTTCTCTCTTTCTCTCTCTCTCTCTCACTCTCTCTCTCACGCTCTCTCTTTCGCTCTCTCTTTCGCTCTCTCTCTCTCTCTCTCTCTCTCTCTCTCTCTCTCTCTTTCTCTCGCTCGCTCGCTCGCTCTCGCGCTTTCGTCCCTCACCCTCTCTTTCTTATCAGTCATATTTGGTAATAAATATTGTTTTAAAGATTAAGCTATTCTCTGCCATTTTAGACATTGCAGATGAATCGGTGCCAACCACTCAGCAGATACGTAGTCCTGACAGTACAACAGACTCGGACCGAGATTTCCAGGATGCCCTCTCTGATGTAGACTCTGCGACACCCAAAGCTGCAGGCACACGTAGAGGTAAATTAAACACACGTAGGTCAGTGTCAGGCCCACAGCAATTACCTTAGTTGATTAACTGAGGCTATATAAAAGAGCATAAGCTAGCTAGCATTAGCTACACTCAGCCCGTATTTGTTTTACACATCACGCAGCCAAAAGTGAACAAATTTTTAGAAAAGGACTATAATAAGCAGCTGCTTCATAGCTAGTAAACAGCAACATGGTTCTGGTAGGTTGTATCAAAGTTTAAGCAGCTGTCACATCTTGCGCACAAGAAATATCGATAGTTTTATTTTGAATGTCTTAAATCGGTACACTGAAACTAAGTATATATAGATACCTAAGGCCATAATAAAAATATTGTTTGTTTGCCCTCACCCGACCGACCCGCCAAAAACGGGCAGACTCAAGACAATTTATTGATCTTTCCCATTCTTTTTTTTCACAAATTGTATCACTGTACATGATATAAATCTGTAGGCAATACATTATATGTACCAAGCATAACAAACATTCAACATAAAAGGTATCTCCACACAAGCACACCCGAGCATGTAGACACCATGCTGAATTAGTAAAAAGACCCGCTTCAAAAAAGCCTACCTACCTACCAAAACTTTTCAGCCTGGATCGAGTGAGGGCAAACAAAGATTTTTTTAATTGTGGCCTAAGTAATATAGGAATTACTAAAATACGCGAGAGTACGCGAGTACGCGAGAACGCTAAAGTACGCGAGAAAAAGTACAGGAACAAGGTGTATAGGTGCAGCATATCAAGAAGTATTTTATACCGTACTTACACAATCTCATAAACACAAGTCCCTGGTGTGGTATATTCTGACATTGATATTTTTGATGTTCCATTCATGAGTTAATTTGATAGCCAAAGAGTTTGAGATAGCATGAAACACTGGCGTAGGAGGTTAACCATGCAATCATCCAGGTGAACGAATAACGTGTCCTCTGAGATGATTCATCAAGGATATTAGGTGGCGGATTTCTTGACCGTAAATCCTTAGCATCATTCCAACAGTAAGCCAACTGTAATCAAACTGTCTACAATTAACTCATCAATGGGGGTAGTTCTTTGTTCCAATCGAGGAGTGATTAAAACTTGAGTGAGCATTGAGTGTCTTGTCATTGCTTTGTGTCACAGCGCTTGTGGAGTTCTGGTGAGGGTGCAGAACTGTCATCCTCAACATCTAATATATGTGGAAGGAGAAGGTAACTGGAATGGAATAACTCTGCCTGCCATCTCCCAATACCTGGATTTTACTTACAAACCATTCAATGATATGCAGAATATATAATCCATAGCGATTCAAAGTAGGAATCCTTATATCATTGGTTTGCCCAAGCATGCGATCTGTTTGTGTTTTAAGTCTCCAAGAGTTTTTTTATGGTACTGGGTATTGTGGCAATTATTTGCGTAAGCGTCCATATACTGCACCCGTGACTCCACTAAGCGAGCACGTACTGTGAGAGCCATGTGTGTCACCACTTGTCACAGTTCGAAAAATACAAAAACCCGGTCACCGTAAAAAGTTTCTTGATTCGAAGTTCGCCTTCCAGTATTGGGAGCACATGTTACCACATGTTATCGACTTTGAATCAGCCTTGAGTCACACAAACTGTAGCTTACGATTTGGTTGCACCTATATAGAAACTTGAATTTTATTTCAATATGCTTTTAACACGAAATATACGTTAAATCTTGCTTGCATGCTTCACGAATAATTTCCAGTGCAATTTCGGTTAGCTTGCAATCTTCAGCTTCATCACTCTAACGTTGTTCTGTAGTCAACCAAGACTGGCATATTTTACTTAATAAAACATTCAATGGTTCCATCCTAGTAATACATACTTAGATTTATCAAAAATCTGTTAGAATCATATCATTATGAATTCCACGGTGCATACATCGGCGTATACGTATCACTATAATATCAGGAGTAGATAATAGAAGATATTCTAGAATAATATAATCTAATATAATAGGTCTAATAGAATATCTTCTATTATCTACTCCTGATAATATATAATTCTGATATCCATACGCCTTGCTATATAACGAGACAATCAATCGTTGTTATGTTCTCCGGCCCCGCTTTAATTATTAGTAATAATATGACTACTCGTCGCTCTATACAGCGCTTAATATGATTACCTGTTTTACTTTCACTTTTACTTTGACATATGTCATTTTAATACGCAGTAAAGCATATGCACTATCATGATTTAGTACACGCGTATAAAATTAGCGACAAGAACCCGTGTACACGATTTTACGAATTTAAACTTTTGCTGGTCTAACTGTGACACTGTAGACCAGCAAAGATTCATACCCGTGAAATCGTGTACACCAACTCTTGTGCCTAGTAGGAAACACATTTTCATGAACCTAATTATAGATCATTAGTATGCTCTTTTAGTTTTCAAGTAACCATGTCCGGCGTGTGCCGGCGTAGCTGATGCACACTTGTCATAATGATTACATCAGGACTTAATAAAACAGTTTTGTTTGTATTCATTTCTGATTAGAGATAGATACTCTATAACTGCTGGCCGTGTAGTACAGGAAAAGTAGGTGTTTATAGCTTCACGGGTTGTGAAGCTACAAACCGTCATACCGTAAGCTGTAGTGTAAGATTGATTTGCGCACGGTATATAATAAAGATGCATGTTAGCACTAAGAGTAGTTAGATTTAGTTTGAATGAAATTTAGGTAGCAAGAGAACCGTTGTCAGAAACATCGTAAAGTTAATGCTAATGTTAAGACTAATTTTGTTTCTGGTAATGGGCCCCTGATTATAATACAAATAATGAATACAGCTGCTTCCCGGCGTGAAGTCGCAAATGGACGGACATATTTATTCATATGCGACTTCACGGAAATGAACCATTTTCACTGCTAAACTTCACAAGGCACCATTTAATTACAATTAAAACGTTAAAATATACGTGGATGATTAATAATAATAATTATGAATTTATATATATTATGAAGTATATATATGTGTGTGCGTGCGTGTGTCCAGTTGCTCAATCATGTCTATTACATGAAATTTCACTTGTTATTTATAATTCTAGAAAGCTGTATATAGTAATTTTAAAAATCGTATTTCAGAGCCTGCTGAACCTAGCCCTGTGGCGGGAGGTGACCGGCCAGAAGACGAAAACAGCACGTCGTCTGGCCACGCAATCATCCACGGCAAACACAGGGACGACCTAACAGACACTGATGTGGCCACGAGCAGCAGTGCCGCGAAAACCAGAGATGTGACGAAACCGAGGCTGAGCATGCAGACGGAGGCGAAGACCGTAGCCAATGAGTGTTATTCAGTGGTCGCTAATGTACGCAAGAAGCGGCTTGGCAAGACTCGGAGAAGCCTGACACCAGAGGTGGGCAACAGGAGCTGGTCGCAAGACAGACCCACAGCAGCTCCCCGTCCTCGACGTGCCTCTGCAACTACGGGGCAAAACGCTAACGTAGATCAAGAGCTAAAGGAGGCAAGCGCGAACGTCAAGCTAGCACCACATACAATCGACGGAGGTCCTTCGGCAGATTCTGCTGAGCAGATTGAACAGGAATCGGAGCCCGCCGACGGGGATCTAGTTTGGCAGGTCACCACAGAAGAGTGCTGCGATGCTCGCAAGGACGTGGAAGTCACTGTTACGCTACCGTTTCGCGGGAAAAAAGGCGCCAACAGCGGCACAGCGGAAATGTGAAAAGGTAATGTGACGTTCCGGTCGAAGTGATTACATACAATGAATGCTGGACGTGGCTTCGAGTTATATTAAGAGAACTGAACAATAACGAATTGCTGTTATGCACATCTGATATTAATCATAAATGATAATTGTATGGATATGAATTTTTTATTAATGAATTATGTGCGCGTACATTATCAGAAAAGCTAAATAATGAGTGTCGAATATCTTTCTTAGCTGATTACATTTGTTCGAACTAGTCAATGTTTGGATTTCAAAATGTAGCAAAAATATACACATAGTAATTAAAATTGCGTTGGTCATTTTCCACTAGCATGCTGTTGATTATCCTCCACAGAATTCTAATGAACAGAATGTACATGTCAGAAATGTAGAATCGTCAGTTAAAGATTCAGTTGCATTATTTTTAATAAATTGAGATATTCACAAATGCTTGTACACCGGTGCACGTAGAGCCATGTGTCTGTTGCCACTTGTTTTCTAGTGTTTCTATACAATTGCAAGAAACTTTCTATTTTGGATGTATGATATTTTGTACTCACCAGTAATTCACTTTTATTGGGTATGTCAATAATAACTTATCATGCTATTTCGTTAAACAGTTTTTGTTACTGGAACAGAAAATTTAGTCATAAATGACTTCTTGTGATAAAGCTTCCTTAACAGCAGACCGACGAGAGTCGCAATAGCTACTAATAATAGCTCGTTTCAATGTCTAACAAATTTTCAGTAATTATCAACGAAATAGAATGATAGTTATCGTATCCATGTGATCGTAACAATTGATGCACTTTGAATCATGGTAATTTTTTAATCGATATCCACTAACAATTCCAGAACTGCAGTATTGTATATATTGCAATATTTCACATTTCATATTGTTGCAAATATTTATGGGTAAAATATTTTATTGGGTATGGAGCTAAAATAGTTTCAGGAGCAAGTGAATTTCCTCGCCATAGCTCAAACGAGTATATATATTGCGTCGTTAAATTGGCAGCTATATGACAGGGCAATCGCTTGCCCTATATAATAACATAGTATGAATGCATTTACTGAACTCGTTCGTATTCTAGAATTTTGCAGTGTTCAACCATTTGTTGTTGCACATAAATAGGGGTGTACTCGTGGCAACGGAAAACATAACTTAACAAATAGTTAAAATGGTTGTCTAGATTATCATGAGAGTGATCTAGTGAGTATTTCTGGTGGTATTGTGTAGGCATGTAAATACAGATTTCACATGGGGATGTGTTTTATGCATAATAGTATCAGAAATGTGTGTCAATAATAATTAATCCTGTTGTGTATAGATTGTACAGATATTACTATACAATATTCACTCATTATTATTTCTGCGTACAATAAAAAAGTAGTGGTCTAATTCTCGTGATTGAGTCAATCGGTACGAGCGCATACGTACATTTAATACTAATAATGTAGTAGTAGTAGTAGTAGTAGTAGTAGTAGTAGTAGTAGTAGTAGTAGTAGTAGTAGTAGTAGTAGTAG